CTGTGCTCCTGTACCATACATAGCTTTGTTATCTGTCATCCGACGGCTATGGAGAGAGGCAATAAGAAGCCTATAAACGGAAAAATCGGAAGAGTCAGGAAGTTTTTATTAATTTAAAAATTCATCTGAAACGTCTGTGGTGGTGCATGCCTGTAATCCCAGCACTCAGGAGGCTGAGGCAGGAGGACCACTCCGCATTCAAGGCTAGCCTGGACCACAGAGTGGGTTCACACCCAGCCTAAACTACACAGTGAGACCCTGTCTCAAAAACAACAACAAAAAAGTCATCTGGTAGAGTACATGCTAAACATTACCAAGGTATTTTGAAAAGTGTACCAAAGTGAAAGTGATCTTATGCGTATCAGAATGGACTCTTAGGTAAGGTAATTAACAGTGGTCCAGTAAGATTCATATATGTATTACAAATATGTAGTAATTAAAAATTTGTTCTTTTTTTTTTTTTTTTCGTATGTTTACTGGTACTAGGGACCAAACTCACAACCACAGGCTTGCAAGGCAGGCGCTTATGCCGCTGAGCTAAATCCCCAGCCCCTAAAAATTTGTTTTGATACAAAGTCTCACTATGTAGTTCAGGCTGGCCTTGAACTCACTATGCAGCCCAGGCTGGTCTTGAATGCACAGCAATCCTCCTGCCTCAGCTTCCCTAATGCTAGGATATTATAGGGCAAGAACTACCACACCCAGCAAAAGGTTTTTTTTTATTTTTTATTTTTATGTTTTTAAAATTAAACACAACAAAACAGAGCAAAATAGGATATAAGAAAGCAATGTAAGAGATATAAATTTCAAAGCTAGACAACCTGAGATCTTCACTGTTTATCAGATTGTCTCTTTTCTTCCAAATAGTTGTCCATGTCTTCACATACAGAGAATTCATATAAAACAACATAGTATAAAACTGATCGGAACAGAACGAGGAAGGCGTTTTAGATATTTAGAACCAGGCAGTAGGGAAGTCACTAATGGCTGTTGTAGAGTCTCTCATTCTCTTCAAAATAGCTGTCCGTACTTTCATGTATATTGAAGTTCAACAAAACAAAACAGGCTAAAATAACACTATTAATTAGAACAAAGCAAAACAGAGATAACATTATTTGCCTTCAAAGAGATGGTAGAAGGAAATCCCCGTTTGCTACATGGCCTGTGGTCAGCCTCTCAAGGGATTCCAGAACTGGCTCCCACTTGCTAATGGCGGGGGGTTGCTTGGTTTCCCAGCATGGCACTCCAGGTCCCAGCCTGGCACAGGTCCCAGTAAATGCCAGTGGCTTCCACCCTGGGCCACCGGAGCCTGCCACACTCACAGCTGCTCAGGGGGAGGGAGGAGAGGGGTTGCTTGGTTTCCCAGCACTCCAGGAGTGAAACTTATGAGATAGATTGTGAGAGCCAATATCTGATACAAAAGCAGCTCAAGAGAGATATTTCAGTCTTTAAGCTTTGCTGGCTCCTTACAATGTATGTGGTAGAGTCAGACCCATTTGAAAACTTAACAAATGTGCTAGAAAGAAACTATCACAAGATTTTTTAAACTTACATATCAACTTGCTAATGTTCAGCACTGGAATAAAGCAAACTCAGTGCATGGTTTGGGCACAATTGGCCCTCTGTTGAGGACGGAATAGAGTAGACCACCTCTTTCTGCCAAAAATAAAAATAAAATGAATTAAAGCTTTAAATGGAGCAATAAAAGTACCAAGAGAAAACAGAGGGCAGTGGGCCCCAGGGTGGTTTTACCGAGTAAGACATTAAAAACAGAAGCTATGAAAAAAATGGGGCCGATTAGTCACTGTGAAATATTAACATTCCAGGCTACCGCGGTGAGGGCGGAACTTCAGCTTCCTTGGGGGGCAGAAAAACGCAAGCAAACAAACTGCTATTTTCTTTCCACTGGTTTTTTTTTTTTTTTTTGTCTTTTTCCTTTTTATCGGTACCAGGGATCGAACTCACAACTGCCTGCTTGCAAGGCAGGCGCTTATGCCGCTGAGCTAAATCCCCAGCTCCACTATTTTCTTTCTATCAAATTAACAATAATAAGAAAAAAGCTATCTTGTATTACTAAGGACATGAAGAAAGCCCCTGACTGTTGGTGAAAATGTTCACTGGAACAGGATTTTTTAAATTAATAAGGTTCATTGGTACGTTTTAAGTTTTAAGTCCATCCTGGGGAGGTTGTAGCTGTACGCGATATACCTGGACTCTTTCTTTTCCCCATCCCCCCATCCTCCCTTCAAACCCTCTTCCCAACCCTACTGACAAAGCTTTGTTTCTGAATTTGGAGCAAAGTTCTGGAGGATAAACTAACACATCTGCCAAAAACTCAGTACCCCTCTCACCGGGAGAGCACACGGTTAGCCTTACTTTACCCCAAAAAGTTTTTGTTCTTTGTACCAGGGATTGAACTCACAACCTCGAGCTTGTCAGGCAGGTGCTTGTGCCCCTGAGCTAAATCCCCCCCAAAAGAGTTTTTAAAAACAGATAGATGATAGATAAGCTTTAACGGAGATAGATAGGTAGCTGTTTTATACATACAGATTTGTAACTACCATATATTTTTGGTGAATTGGATCTTCTATCAGTATATAATCTCTCTCTCTCTCTCTCTCTCTCTCTCTCTCTCTCTGTCTCTCTGTCTCTCTCTGTCTCTCTCTCTCTCTCTGTCTCTCTGTCTTATCTTTTTGAGACAGGATCTCCCTATGTAGTTCTGGCTGGGCTTCAACTCACTTTGTAGTCCAGGCTGGCCTCGAACTCACAATGATCCTCCTGCCTCAGCCTCCTGAGTCCTGGGATTACAGGCGTGAGCACCATGCCTGGCTCTGTCCCTCTCTCTAATATGCTTTATCATTAAACTGTATTTCATCTGATATTAATGTGCCACCTATATTTCTTTTAGTTTGCATTCGCTCTTGTTCATCCCTTATTTCCCAGCAAGTTTTGTGTCTTATGACTGTCCTCATTATTGTCATCAGGGTTTTCAAGGGAGTAGATTTAATACAGGACACATAATTAATGGGATTATTTTATAATATTTACCCAAAGAGTCAAATTCAGAAGAGTGCAAGAGATCTGTCCATGGGCTAGAGGTTCAAAAAATCCAGCTGAGAGCCTGGACCCCATGGCAGTGCGCTCCAGGAGTCCAGCTGAAGACCTGGAGCCCTTGGTGATGTCGCATGCAGGTCTGCACCAAGGATCTGCACTGGAAAGGCCCCACGGTCAGCGGTGGAAACTCGAAAGTCTGTGCCAGCAGATGCAGGATCTGTGCCAGCAGCTGAGGAGCTGCACTGGAGCCAGGAAGTGATGCTCAAGGTAACGACCAGGGCTCCCCGGAGAGAACCACAGCCATCCTCAGTGACAGCGAGGTCCTGAGCTCCTCCAGGCATGAGAATGGCTGGGTTCATTGATCAGGAAAACCAGGGCAACAAGCTTCTCCAGGAGAATCAGCAGCGCACCATCTTCCTCTCCAGTTCTCTTTTTATACTGTTGGCCTCAGGTGGGCAACATATACACAACAGCATGCTGATTCGGTTCAGCAGGGGATTACCAGGTGACCATTAGTTAATCCACAAGAGTCCACCCCTGGTCAACTTGCTAACCAGACACATTTCCTTAAATTATAATCTCCAGTCATAGATTCATTAGAAGTTAACATGTTTTGATCTATACAATTTTACATTAATGTAACAATTGCCCAGGCTGGGTGTAGTGGCTCATGCCTGTAATCCTAGCACTCGCAAGGCTGAGACAGGAGGATCACCACAAGTTTGAGATCAACCTGGGCTACACAGTGAGTTGAAGGTCAACCTAACCTACATAGTGAGGTTGTGTCTCAAATAAAACAAGGGCTGGAGATTTAGCTCAGTGGCTCAAACGCTTACCACATTGCTCAAACGCTAAGCACAAGGTCATAAGTTCAATCCCTGGTCCCAAAAATAAACAAATAAAACAAAAACCAACAATAACCAATTACATAAATGCAATTCTTATTGTACTCATTTCTATACCAAAAGCAGATATTCAAAGGCTTCTCAAAATTCAAGGTTAAAAGCACAATATCTGATTACAAACATGTCTAAAAACTACATTAAAATCATATTTAAGAGAACTATGACAATCACAGTCTTTTTTTTTTTGTACCAGGGATCAAACTCATGACTTCAAGCTTGCAAAGCAGGACAATCACAGTCTTTATTTTCCATTAACTTTTTAAAACTTTTTTTAAAAAAAGAAAAAACAAAAAACAAGAGACATACAAAAAAAGCTATAAGAACAACAAAAACCCCAAAACAATAACAAAATAGGTTTTCAAAACAAGACGATGGGGAATTTAACAATGGTTGTAGTGTTGCATATAACTTTTGACAACACTAAGAAATGCCCCAAGGTGTTTCCTTCGTCTCATACCCCCTTCCCTTCTGGGGAAAAGCCTTAGGTCATTTTTTCCATTGTCCTACTCCTTCTCATCAACTTTGTTCTCTGTTAAACCCTTGCAACCCCCAGCTCCATTGGAGCCTCCCCTGTGGGCTACTACAAATCACCCTGCTGGCTCTTCATTCTTAACTTCAACATAATCTGGCCAAAAGCCCTCAGTAGTAAACACGCCACCATCCCAATAGTGGACTGCATTCAATTTTTTTTTGCTATCCAGACAATATCTCTAAACATGAGCAAAATGCAGACCAACTTCCTGCCAAAGCACAGCACATACAACCTGGGATCCAGCAGCCTATGCAGGACTTTGCAGTAGAAGCCTCCTGAGCCTCATCCTAACCAGAAGTACTCTGGTTTTCCAGGCTCTGACCAGAGTCTCCCTTATAATTTGCAGTGTACAGGGGCTGCTTCTTTGGCCAGTCTCTCAAATCCTTTCCAAATTAACCCCTAGGTTTCTTAAACCACAAGGCCAGGCAACATTACAGCAATGACCCCACTCCTGGTACCAATTAGATTTTAGTCACTTTTCTCTCCTTGCTGAGACAAAATACCCAACGTTAAGGGGGGAAAAGTTTATTTAGCTCACAGTTTGTAGAGGTTTCAGTCCATAATTGGCTGGCTCTAAGGCAGTGTGGCACAGGGTAGAGGGGCAACAGTTCACGGTGAGGGAAGAGAGTAAAAGCACAGCTGAGGAGCAAATAGGCATCTTTCTGAATCTGTCACAGGCTCTAGACTCAGACACCTCTGAAAAAGTCCAATTGAAAAGTGCATGAGGTTTCGGGGGTCATCATCTCTGCATTTTAAAAAATTTTGATACATTTTAGGTTCACAACGAAATTCAGTAGCAATAACAGAGCTCCCACATACCTTCTTCTCCCTATGCACAACCTCATTCCCATCTGACAGCAGGGTGGTGCATGGGCTACGATGGATCATTCATTGACACCTTAATGTCATCCAAGCTCTGTTGTTCACACGGAGGTTCATTCTGGAGTTGAACCAATGTCTGATGATCTACGTACATCATCATTACGGGACTGCATATTAAAATATTCAGTGTTTACTTGAGTCTCTCTCCCCAACTTCTGTCAACCAGTGATCTTACCATCTCTGTAGTTTTGCCTTTACCAAAATGCCATGTGTGTGTGTGTGGTGTGGTATCACAGACTGAACCTGGGCCTTTGTGCTGAGCTTTTTAACCCCGCCTTTTAAAATTTTTATTTTGAGACAAAGTTCTTGCTAAGCCATTAATTTCCAGGCTGGTCTAGAAATTGCAAACCGCCTGCCTAGTCTCCCAGAATGCTGGGATTGCAGGCTTGTGCCATCACACCAGGCTCTATTTTCAGTTTTTTGAGGAGCTGCCATTCTGTTTCCCATGAAGGCTACACCATCTTACAGCCTCACCAGTTATACACAAAAGTTCTCATTTGCTACATCCTTGCCAATATCTGTTATTTTGCAGCTGTTTGTTTATAGTACCCACCCACCCTTGTGTACATAAAATTAATATAAGCCGGGCATGGTGGCTCATGCCTATAAGCCCAGCACTTGGGAGGCTGAGGCAGGAAGATCGTTGTGAGTTCAAGACCTGCCTGGGCTACAAAGTGAGCTCAAGACCAGCCTGAACTGCACAGTGAGACCCTGTCTCAAAAAAAAAAAATATATATATATATATAATTTTAAAAGGTAATATATTACTAATTCCTGGTATCTTATTTTATTATTTTAAAACTAATTTATTGGGGCTGGGGATTTAGCTCAGCGGCATAAACGCCTGCCTTGCAAGCAGGCAGTCTTGAGTTCGATCCTTGGTACCCATAAAAACGAAAAAGACAAAAAAAAAAAAACTAACTTATTATAACTATAATAATTATTATTATTTTTGGTTTTTTGAGGTTGAGTCTTGCTATGTAGTCCAGACTGGACTTAAACTCATGGCAATCTTCCTGCCTCAGCTTCCTAAGTACCAGGATTAAAGGCATGTGTCACTGTGCTCAGCTTGCTTTATTTTTCTACTCAGATTGTTTTTAATCAAAGTTTTTAAACAGATAAACCAATGTTTTATTGGGTAGACTAATCTTTTTTTTCAAACTTTTTCTGGGTATTCCATCATCAAACTTAATTTTTTCATTACTAAAAGCTCACATATGCTGCTTGCTATATTTCTGTCCCTATGTAGTTTTCATATTAATTACCTCTTAGGACAACTCTATGAAGCTGATTCCATTTCAAAAATAAGCTTTTTATTTTAGAATAATTTATTTTAGACTATACTAATTTTAAGTTGAGATAGCTATAAATTATTTGTGATAAACGATTTTATTTGGAATAACTTTAGAGTTTGGATTCCAGAAAATGACAAAGCACAGAGTTCTTGTTTACATCTATTTTCCCTCATTATGACTCTTCTCCATTATACATTAAGCCAGGTGTGGTGGTGCACACCTGTAATCCCAGTGCTCTGGGAGCTGAGGCACAAGCCTTGCAACTTTGAACCCAGCCTGGGCATTTCAGCAAATTAGCAAGACCCTGTCTCAAAATTTTAAAAAATAATAAAAAGTACTGCAGATTTAGCTCAGTGCAGAGGTCCTGGGCTCAGTTCCCAGTGCTGCAAAAACTAATTAATTAATTAACCAGTACTGAAACATTTGATTAGCTAAAATCCATGCTTTATCCACATTTCCATTGTTTTTGCCAAATGTCTGTTATCTGTCTGAGTGCTACATTGTGTTTAGGGATTGTATCTCCTTTGGCTTCTCTTGGTTAGGCATGTTTCTTATTTTTGAAACTTAGACAGTTTTAAGAATATAGAATGTAGACCAGGAGCACAGATTGGGGAGAGACAAGACTGAAGCTAATGTCCTGCCTATGAGCCAGCTGGTGCTTGGGCTGGGAGGCAAGAACAGCCTCCTTCCCCCAGCAACCAGCTGCGGAGGAACTGTATTGTTTCTCTGACTTTGCAAGCCTACAGCTGAGCAAATACCTAGAGAACAACAATATGCAATACAGTAACAGTTGTAAATTTCCTACTGTCTTACCACAGTTTGAATTGGTTTCATTGCTGTTTTATTCTATTTAAAAATTTTAAAATAATATTTAATAACTTTTTTTGGAGACAAGGTCTTACTATGTAGTACAGGCTAAACTCGCTGTGTAGCCCAGGCTGGCCTTGGTGATCCTCCTGCCTCAGCCTCCTGAGGGATGATGGGTGTGCACCACCATGCCTGGCTAATAAAATATAAATTGTCTTTTTCTGTAAGCAGTTAGAATCAATATCTATAAACATCTACTGTTAGAACAAGATACATTCTTAAGGAACTTATGCTTTGTAGGAGTAAACTAAAATTTTATTATTTATTTATATTTATTATTTTATTATTTATTCCATAGGATGCCTTCCCCTCTGCATGCCATCAATACATGGGAGGGCTCGGGTTAGTTTTGATATTAGGTATTTTTATAGTTTTGATCTTAGATATTTTGATATTAGATTACCGGTGTGGTGGCGCACACCTATCATCTCAGCATTTGGGAGGCTGAGGCAGGAGGACTGCTGCAAGATAAAGATCAGTTTGAACTGCATGCCATTACTGTCTCAAAAAGAAAAGCAAAAAAAAAAAAAAAAAAAAGAAAGAAATTTAAAGAAAATTATGCACAGACATAAGCAAGGCAGAGAAGGAAAGAGTTGATAGGACAGGTGCCATGACACAGCCACTGCTTCGACTTGGTAAAGGAGCCAACCAACCCGCTGGCCCCGGGTTGTGCTGCCCGCCTTAGCCCAGCAAGCCGCGTGGGCGGCCCAGGCACCCCGCCAGCCTGTCCCTCCGAGGTCACTGCAGGTTATCAGCTGTTGTGTGCCCTTAGCATGACTCAGAGGCTGCGGGAGAAATCACCTTCCAGTTCCAGGGCCGACCGTTTAGCTCCAAGAGTCACAGCACGAAGGACCGCGAGTGCGAGGCGTCACACGGCCGGGAGCCCGTCCCCAAGGGCAGGAAGAAGGACCAGGTTCCCGAGCCAGACCCAAATTCCTTTAACTGATGCTTTGTTATTCATGAGCAGGCGCGAGGGAACAAATTGTTATGCCTGACACCACGTTGCAAGGCTCGAATTTTTGCGGTGATTCATGTAGCTATATTTAATATTTGCAGAGTCATCCAGCATCTCCGGCCGAGCCCGGGAAGCCTTCACCCAGGGGTGACACCGCTCCGCTCCGTCCCTTACGGGCCCGCCGCGGGGCGTCCCGCATCCCCCCAGGCCTGCACCTGCAAACCTTTCAGGAGGGTGCGCGTGAGCTTCTGCCCGGGATGACAGGCTGGCTGCCGCTGACCTTGGGGAGGGTCCGTCATCGGGGGGGGGGGGGGACTTGTAGTACCAGAACCCCCGGAACTCCCTTGTACTCACAAGGGTCAAATAAATCAGATTTTTAAAATATCTGATCTGTGATCCTGAAGGTAGGATGTTGTGTTTAAATCTCTTGATAATGTCCTCGCAGACGTTGATGATGCGGTATTTAAATAACAAAAGATATGGCTTCATCCATCCTTCCTTTAAAAGCTTTCATAGGAAAGAGATAAAAGATAATCGGCTAATAATGGAGATGCTGATGAAGTATTAAAGAGAACAGAACACTTACTCGGCTTCGCAGCGGACCAGGAGCGTGGGAAATAAGCAAACACAGAATAAAACAGCTGGGAGGCTCACAGGCAATAGGAAGGGGCTTCCTCCTTTCCTCATGTGTCCGTCCCCCAAATAGAAACTAAGGAAGAAAATAAGATTGCTCCAACACACGGCGGGGGGCATTTAAGAATTCAGACATTGGAAATAGACATTCAGGCAGAATTTTCCAGGCAAAGCTAGAACAGGAAATAAATTCCTCAGTGTAAACCAATGACAATGAAGATTTTCAAATGTGTAGATAAATGCAGACCTGGGCATGCTTGTAATCCTAGCCCTGGGAGGCTGAGGCAGGAGGATTGCTGCGAGTCAAGGCCAGCCTGGGCTACAGAGTGAGACCCTGTCCCAAAAACAAACAAACAAAAAGACCCCAAACAGATCAAAAAAGATAAATACATAAATGACACAATCAAAACTTCATCAAATGTCAGATACGGCAACAGAAATACATACCAGGCTTTTCCCGTGAGCAAATGAGACACAAAGAATTTGGAAACCGTAAAACAATATTCAAATGTGTGACAATATCAGTGTGATTCAGAAAAACAACCACATCAAACGTCCTCCTCCTTCCACTTCCCATTCCTCATTTATCTAAAAATGTAAGAATTTATTTACACTCAACACCCCAGAGGAGTTGCCTTTTGAAAAATGGAATACACAAAATCCAGTTTTCTACTTCTTTTTTTATTGTTCCTTTATGACAAGCTTTGTTTTTTCTGGTAGTCTTTTAACATTTGTTATGGATCCAGGTGTGGTGGTACACACCTGTAATCCCAGCACTTGAGAGGCTGAGGCAGGAAGATTTCTGGGAGCTCGAGGCCAACCTGAGCTACAGAGTGAGTCAAGGCCAGCCTGAACTGCATAGTGAGACCCTGTCTCAAAACAAAACAAAGTGGTTATAGGAAATTTCACACCTACATAGTCAACATCATAATTCCTCCTACCCTTCCCTCACTTAAGCCCTGCTTGGGGTCCTGCTGATTTTGATATCAAAATGATATAGGGGGGGCTGGGGATTTAGCTCAGCGGCATAAGCGCCTGCCTTGTAAGCAGGCAGTCGTGAGTTCGATCCCTGGAACTGATAAAAACGAAAAAGACAAAAAAAAAAAAAAAAAAAAAAAGATATAGGAAATGGTATCAGGACCTCTGAATATGATATAAGGGAAATATTATTATAACTCCCAACCTGCTAGATGTCCAACACACTGAGTTTATGTTCCCCAAAATCGAAGAATGAATTCCAAGAAACATTTTTATGGTTTAGGGTAGGAAATATTTATTGAGGTGGAGACACAGCTCCTGAGATGCAGGAGGGGTCCTCAAGTTGGCTGCCGAGGACCCCACTTGTCAGGCTGGGTCTCACAGAGTGCACCCACGTGGGTTACAGCTGGGATCAACCAGTGAGAAAGCAGTCTGGCCACTTAGGTAATATTGACTCGGTGGGGGAGCAGGTCACAGAGCGAGCGTGCACGTTGAGAACAAAGAACTTTTCAGAAAGGAGGAGCCTGAAGGTCTTGGTTACCCCCGTGAGGTAACTGCGGTCCAGAGACTTCATTAGACCAGGTGTTACCATTTGTCTCAGGCCTGGCCATCCGTCTTTATCTGGCGACCTGGCCACCCGCAGATGCACCTCCAGCCACAGCAGTCGCCGGTTTTCATCTTTACCCTGACTCTCTGAGGGCCTGTGATTCCTTCCTGACTCTGCTGATGGTAACCACTTCACGGCAACCCCACTGACTCCCCACTCAGATGATTTTGAGCCAAATGCCAGATGTCATTTTGGTTAGAATTCTTGTTTTGTTTTTGAGATAGGGTCTTGTTATGTCACTGTATCATTCAGGCTGGACTTGAACTCACAGCGATCCTCCTGCCTCTGCATTACCACAACCAGCTGACTGACGTATTTTTGCAGATTTTTTTAAATCTAAAGGCAGGTGGTTTGGCAGGCTGCAGCAGCCCCAGGGGGAGAACCACCAGCATCTTCTGAGATCCACACCATGTTGGAACTTAGGATGCTGGGAAACCAAGCAACCAGCCTGCCTCCCTGCTAAGCAATAGAGAGCCTACTGGTGCGTGGGCTGAGAGTCAAACATCCCACTTCCCCTGCTTCCTTTCTCCTGTCCCCTGTTAGCAAATGGGAGCCAGAGATCTGAGCATCTCTTGGGAGGCTGACCATATGCAATATAGCAAATAATGGGGATTTCCTTCTACCATCTCTTTGAAGACAAATATTTTTACCACTGTTTTGCTTTATTCTGATTAATGGTACGCTCTATTCAATATTCTGTTTTGATAAGTTCTATAATGTTCTGTACTTCATTTTTTTTTTTTGCTATACATGATTCAAAGAACAACTATTGTGATGATAATGAGATATACTGTGATACCTATTACTGTTTTCCTGGTAACCTACTGTGAAGTTCTGTACCAATTTCACTACACTGTCTCAATTGGCTTTGTTCCATCTTGTTCTGTTGTATTTTACTACCTTCAAAATAATTTTTAAAATTCTAAAGGTACTACACTAGGTATGGTGGTACACACCTATAATCCTAGACCATGGAGGCCATTAGTTTGAGGCCAACCTGGGCTGTGTAGTCCAAGGCCAATTTGAATTGCACAATGACTCAGAAATTACAAAACCAACCAACCAACCAACCAAAAAAGCAAAACATAAGATAGAGCACTGTGTGATCACCCTCTTTTTCCTTATTCCCCAAACTCTAGCAGGTTGGATCGAAGACCCAGGATTTAGTTCCAGCACCCAGGACTTGGGGTCACAACCAGGACCCAGAACCACAATTAGGACCCAGGAAAAAGATTCAGGACCAGAACCAAGACCTAAGACTCAGGACCACAATTAGGACCCAGGATTTAGGATCCAGAACTAGGACTCTGGATGACGATGCCAAGACCAGGACCAGGACTGGGACCAGGACCAGGACCACATCCAGGCCCCAGGCTCCAGGTCCCAGGCTCCAGCCGCAAGCCCCAGGCTCTGTGCTGAGAATGCTGGACCAAGATGCAGGGACAGGGACACAGGACAAAGACCCAGGATTCTGGACTAGGACTCAGGACACACCGGACCCAGGACCTGGCGCCAGAGCCTGGGGTCCCTTTGCCTGGAAACATGCTGAGGGCCCTGAATTCCTTCCTTACCCACTCTCGCCAGATCCTGATGACTTGGCAGGGGTAGGGGGCTAGGAAAGACTTTAGGGTCTGAGAACAAATGAGAAAACTGTTTTAAAGCCCCCCCCCAAGACAACATTTGCTTCTCTCTCTCTTTCTCTCATTCTCCTCTCTCTCTTTTTTTCCCTTCTCTCTTTCTCCCTCTTTTTCTGCTTGAGTGAGGGAAACTTTATTCAGCCCCAAAGCCTGGGCTCGGGCTGGTGATGGCTCTCCAGAGAGGGCACTGGTGGAGAACTTCCCTTGCTCTTCTTTTTGGGGGGCAGGTTGCTGGTGTGATCACACTTCTTTCCACAGCAGGTGATGGCCCGGGGGTGCAGGTGGGCACTATGCTTGACTGGTCACTATTGTCCTTCTGGGACAGCTGTCACAGGGATGGCTTAAAGATCCCATCTCATAGGCAAAGCCCCAGCTGCAGGGTGGGCTCCTGAGGTGTTGTGGCCCGAGACAGTCCAGCCAGGCTCTAGCTGTTTGCCGGGGTACACCAGGCACAGCGGGGCAGATGGGGTGCCCTCCTGGTCTTGGATTTTGACTTTGACATTCTCAGGGGCAGACATTCTAGTGAAAATTTGTGTCAGTGTAAAGCGGGGTTGGCCACGCTGTTGGCAGGGCTTACAGGGGAGGTCTTTGCAACGGAAAGTTTGAGCAAACCTGAGTCAGGAGCAATTGATGTTACTACCTTCAGGGTGAGCGCAAATTAAGCCAGATAATTGTTCACTGGCTCTGAGAATTCCAGGACAAGTAACTATGGCTGAGAGCCAAGAGAGAAAAAAGCAGATGTTTCCTTAATACTCATTTGAGGGAGGGAAAGCAATTAGGGATCAGGAACAGGAGAAACACCTTTAAGTAGGTGTGTGATAACTTATTTGATAATAGGATAGCACAAATGATGCATATATATATATATATATATATATATATATATAGTCCCTTACTTCCCCCAGAGTTTCAAGAATTGGCTTATTGAGTTTGTGAGCAGTAAAGAATTTTAGAAATATATCAAACACAACCTTCCCCCACCCTTTCCATAGATGAGAAAGTAAGGTCCTAGGGTAGTGATCAGGTTTGCCCAAAGCTGAACACCTGCCTGACAACATTGTGGGTGGGAAGTCATAGGTATAAAAACAGATCCCCAAACCAGGTATGACTCGCACCTATAATCCCAAAACTCAGGAGGCTGAAGCACAAGAATCACTACCAGTCTGAAGGCCCTTTTGGGCTACACAGTGAGATCCTGTCTCAAAAAACAAAACAAACAAAGCAAAGCAAAACCAGACCCAAGAAATCTGTTTCACCATTCAGGTTTTAAGAGGGAAATTACAGTATTTGTCATAATTTTAAAGAAATAACATAAGCAATAAAGGTAACCAGACTACTATGGCCATTAGGGTTGAGCCTGGAGTTTTGGAACATTAAACGTTCCTTGAGCCCTCTGCCACTGTAAAGGAATAGTCTAAGGCATCGCTGGCTTGCAACCTTAGCCTGCTTCGTCAGACATTTTCAAAGCACAGTGTAGTGTCACCTCCCTGGCTATGGAACACAGTTTCTATCATCGACCTCACCACCAGTGTTAGTCCCTTATTTGTTCGGGCTGGCTCCTGACCCAGCTCTCCTGCGCCCCATTTCAGCCAAGGACTAACTCGTGTGTCAGGGGATGGCTGTGTCTGGCTGCAGGGCAGGTACTGGGGATGGGTAGAGGGGGCACCCACTTGAGAGCTTGCACCCATCTGCCTTGAACTTCAGCTTTCTTTTCTGCTGCCTTCAGAGGCTGGCGTGAACGGTCCCTTTCATTAGCAATGTGTCCTAGTCCTTCCTTTCTGTTGATAAGAACAGTGGAGCCAAGAGGGGCCAGGGACCTGCTCAAGGTCACCCCGAGTATCAGTGCTGGATCCAGGCCCCAGACCCAGGTCTGCACAGAGCTCTGTTGTCAGATCTTGCTTATATCATGAGAGAGAATCAAATCTATCAGCTCCCCGGGGATTTGTGCCGAGAACCAACTTGCATTTGTGGGTTTGATAACTGACATAGGGATTTTCAGCAACAGGGTTTCTTGGGTAGATGAGGGGGGAAATCCCCGCTGGGAACACTTTTAAAATGAAACGCTGTGAAAATGTATGCCACCCTAAGAAAAGGTGTTTAGCCTGCTTCCCGGAGCGATGGTGTTTGGAGCCAGTCACAAGGCACACGCCGACCCAATTAGCATGCAAAGAAAAGGTACCAACTCCGGCACAAGGCGACCTGGAGGAAAGGAGGCTTCTTTCTAATAAATGTCAACACAGACTGCTGTAGTTTGGATCTTGAATAGCACTCAAAGGGCCGTGTGCTGAAAGCTTGCACCCACCTCTACTGCTATTGAGAAGTCATGGAGCTTTTAAGAGGAGGAGCCTAGGGGAGAGGAAGTAGGCCGCTGGGGCGTGGCCTCAAAGGGGCCCGCCCCTTCCGCTTTC